CTGCCTAAGGGAAGCATGTATAATGTAAACAGAATTGGTCCTGTTGTTTCCGAGCTCATCCACTCCATGAGCTTGGAATCCTCAACCACCTTGTTGAGGCCATGGGCTACTTATCTTCGCTAGCCTGCCTACCTAGGGCATGCCTTCCTTGGAGATCTGCCAGACCCGGGAGCTGCTGCCAGTCCCTTCCGAGGCCTTTCCCAAACCGCAGCTCAATTCATGTTTAAGCTATTCACCTTCATCTACTAAAAAACGCTGTCAAACTTAAAATGAGGACGTGGGACCAGCTAGGTTAGGGGAGATAAATGGATGGATGGTAATGGACTCATTCTTATATAGCGCCCTTTCTACTCTCCCAGAGTACTCAAAGCGCTCTATACAACATGCCATATTCACCCAATCACACCCATTCCCACCAGCACTGTCTTCTAAGTTTCTTAGTGCTTCCTAACTACCATTCATATGCCAATGAACACATCGGAGAGCAATTTGGTGTTAGTATCTTGCCCAGGGATACTTGGCATGCAGACTGGAGGAGCCAGGGATCAAACCACCAACCTTCTGATCAGTACATGACCTACTCTACCTCCTGAGCTACAGCCACCCCAAGACTATCCTGTCTGTACATGTGCCATTATCTTTTTCATATGGTGACACATGCTGCAAAACAACCTGAGGTAGACTAACTGTGTGATTTAAATGTTGCATGAAAAGTTTGCTGTGCTGTGATGGATTTAAAGCAAACGTCTTGATGCAAGCTGCTGCACTGCTGTTCTATTATTTTGTTGTACAGTATTACATAACTTCTATGATTTAAACAAAACATCATACTGAGAAGCATGTACCAATCATATGGAAAGAGATAAACTTGTTTCTTAGTCTATTGAGTAAACTTAATTTAATAAAATGTGAACAAATATAAAATGTGTTTATTTTGCTGCCATTGAGTGTGCTTAAGTGAAACAGCTGTACACATCTGGCTGCAGAGTTCAACTCACTGTGGGTTCAGGCTCCACTGT